GAATAAAAAGCAAATGCTTTATGATGATGTTTTAATTTGTACTATAATAGTAACTATTAACAAATAGCCACATAAAATCTCTTCGAGTCCTTGGAGATTTTTAAAAGCATAAAGCCATCTTAAAACCAATTAAAAAGAATCACTGCAGGCTGGGTGCAATGGCATATCTTTGATTTGTTTCATCATGTTTTATGGTTTTCAGTGTACAGAAATATCATCTCCTTTGCTGAATTTCTTCCTAAATATGTTATTTTGTAAGCTATTGTTAATAGGATTATTTTCTTGATTTCTTTCTCAGATATTTTGCTGCTCGTGTATAGAAATACTACTAATTTTTGTTTGTTGATTTTGTACCCTACAACTTTACTGAATTCATTCATTAGTTCCAAGAGTTGTCTAGTGAAACTTTAGAGATTTTTAAATATATAACATCATGCCATCTGCAAACAGGGACAATTTAACTCCTTCTTTTCCAACCTGAATACCTTGTATTTCTTTCTGAATAATTTGTGTGGCTAGTACTTTTAATACTATTTTGACTAGAAGTGGAAAGTGTGGGGATCCTTGTCATTTTCTAGATCTTAGAGGAAAAGCTTCCAATTTTTCCCCATTGAGTACAATGTTATCTGTGGGTTTGTCATACACGGCCTTTATTGGGTTGAGGTTTATTCCTGTTACTTCTAATTTGTTGAGAGGTCTTTATTTAAAATCATGAATGGATACTGAATTTTGCCAAATGCCTTTTCTGTATGTATTGAAATGATTGTTTGGCTTTTGTCCTTCATTCTGTATATGTTTGTTAGGTCCATTTGGTCTGGAGTATAGTTTAACATTTTGTTCCTAGATAATTTGTCCATTGCCAAAAGTGGGGTATATATTATATATATTTTATGGTTTCTTTCCTGATATATATATATTTGTTTCTCTATTTCTCTCTTATTGTTTTCCTTTTTTGGTTAATTGATTTTCCCTAATAGTATGTTTTAATTCTTTGTTTTTCACTTTTTAAAGTTTCTATTATAGAGTTTTGAATTGTGGTTACTATAACACTTACAAAAAGTATCCTATAGTTATAACAGTTTATTTGAAGATGATAACAAATTCTTTTGTCACAAAAGCTCTACATTTTAAATTTATTTATTTTTTATTTTTTGTCCCACAGATTTCTGAGAAAGCACTACATTTTTATTCTATTCCCTGCCCCCAAACATTTTGAATATTTGATGTCATCATTTACATCTTTTTGTGTTACATATCCCTTAACAAATTATTGTAGTAATTTTTAATAGTTTATAATTTATTTTCTTGATTTCTTGATTATTTTCTTGACAAACTAATTACTTATATCTTTAGTTTAAAGGTTGAATTATAACCATTAAATTTTATAGGTTATAATTTATAGGTTATAACCATTAAACACACCACCATTATGGTATTAGAGTATTCTGAATTAGACCGTGTACTTCTTTTATCATTAAGTTATCTCCTTTCATGTTTCATGTTACCAATTAGGGTCCTTTTCTTTTAGGTTGAAGAACTCCCTTCAATTGTTATTGTAAGGCAGGTTTAGTGGTGATAAGTTGCCTTAGCTTTTGTTTGTCTGGGGAAGTCTTTATCTCTCCTTCATTTCTGAAGGACAGCTTTGCCATTTAAGCATTCTTGGTTGGCAGTTTTTGTTTTCCTCTTTGGCACTTTCCGTAAATGTAGTGGGGAAACCCTGCAAGTGCTGTGGCAAGGGTCTGAAGCCTCAGCCTGTTCCCATATAAATATTGATTTAGAAGAGAATTAGAAATGTAGGCACATAGTTATTCCTTTATATAATCATACATAATCTCATAGTTACTCACTTATAATCATAAAGATATATATATAAATCTGGAAACCACCATTCTCAGCAAACGGACACAAGAACAGAAAATCAAACACCACATGTTCTCACTTACAGGCAGGTGTTGAACAATGAGAACACAGGGACACAGGGAGGGGAGCATCACACACTGGGGTCTGTTGGGGGGTGCCAAGGGAGGCACAGCAGGGGGGGTTCTTTTTTATTGTACTTTGGGTTCTGGGGTACATGTACAGATCATGCAGGATTGTTGCATAGGTACACACATGCCAATGTGGTTTGCTGCCTCCATCCCCCTGACACCTACATCTGGCATTTCTCTCCATATTATCCCTCCCTAACCTCCCCACTGCCCCCCCTGTCCCTCTCTTGGCCCCCCTCAACAGACCCTAGTGTGTGATACTCCCTTCCCTGTGTCCCTGTGTCCTCATTGTTCAACACCTGACTATGAGTGAGAACATGCAGTGTTTGTTTTCCTGTTCCTGTGTCAGTTTGCTGAGAATGATGATTCCAGATTCATCCATGTCCCTGCAAAGGACAAAAACTCATTGTTTCTTACAGTTGCATCGTATTCCATGGTGTATATGTGCCATATTTTCCTAGTTCAGTCTATCATTGATGGTCATTTGGGTTGGTTCCAGGTCTTTGCTATTGTACACGGGGCTGCAGTGAACATATATGTGCACATGTGTTTATAATAGAAGTATTTATATTCCTTTGGATATATACCCAGTAATGGGATTGCTGGGTCAAATGGTATTTCTATTTCCAGGTCCTTGAGGAATCGCCACACTGTCTTCCACAATGGTTGAACTAATTTACACTCCCACCAACAGTGTAAAAGTGTTCCTATTTCTCCACATCCTCTCCAGCATCTGTTGCCTCCAGATTTTTTAATGATCGACATTCTAACCGGCACATTTTATTTTTTAAAAGATTAAGAAGACATATATGAGGCCAAAAATGATATGAAAAAATGCTCATCATCACTGGTCATTAGAGAGATGCAAATCAAAACCACATTGAGATACCATCTCACGCCAGTTAGAATGGCAATCATTAAAAAATCTGGAGACAACAGATGCTGGAGAGGATGTGGAGAAAGAGGAACACTTTTACACTGTTGGTGGGAGTGTAAATTAGTTCAACCATTGTGGAAGACAGTGTGGCAATTCCTCAAGGCCTTAGAAATAGAAATTCCATTTGACCCAGCAATCCCATTACTGGGTATATATCCAAAGGACTATAAATCGTTCTACTATAAGGACACATGCACACGAATGTTCATTGCAGCACTGTTTACAATAGCAAAGACCTGGAACCAACCCAAATGCCCATCAATGATAGACTGGATTGGGAAAATGTGGCACATATACGCCATGGAATATTATGCAGCCATCAAAAATGATGAGTTCATGTCATTTGTAGGGACATGGATGAATCTGGAGAACATCATCCTCAGCAAACTGACACAAGAACAGAAAATGAAATACCGCATATTCTCACTCATAGGAGGGTGATGAAAAATGAGAACACATGGACACAGGGAGGGGAGTACTAAACACTGGGGTCTATTGGGGGAAAAAGGGGAGGGCTGGGGGGGAGCTGGGGAGGGATAGCCTGGGGAAAAATGACAAATGTGGGTGAAGGGGAGAAAGGAAGCAAAACACACTGCCATGTGTGTACCTATGCAACTGTCTTGCACGTTCTGCACATGTACCTCAAAACCTAAAATGCAATAAAAAATTTAAAAAAAAGAATTATACTGACCAAAACCTAAATACAATGGCTTTCTGATTAAGTTAGATAAAAATGCTTTTGTAGAGAAATGCTTTGTTCTTTGATTTTAGGGTGTCATCAACACCCATAACAGTACACTTTTTGGAGGATAAGAGCCCAGGGTGGCCTTTTAGGGCAGAGTAACTGGCCCCCATGTCAATTAAGAAATTAATACTCTTACCTGCCATGTTAGAGTCACCCAAGACTCCTTACTATGCCTTTTGTGGGAGTCACTAGGGACCTCTGGATCCTCCAGCCCTCAGTTATCATCGCCAGTCCTCAGTTAGGGCCATTATGGCATAAGGTGTCTTCCTCTTCCTTCACAGTTCAGGGCAATCCCTTTTCCAATGACTCTACTGCCTACTTTGAGAACAGGGTCTGAGTGGGATGCCCTGACTGGGATAGCTCTTCCTCCAATGTCTTGGCTTCCCACACGTAAAGGAGCAACGATTACCTTCAGGTTTGCTATTAGGCTAGTTTGGTCTGTGGGTGAAATATCCCCCTGGGTGACCCTGAGGTTGCAGGGTGCTGCTTAAGTAACTGCTATCATTTGGGCTTGTTGTCTATCCCATCATTTGCCACACAGGGTTCTTTCAGCCTCTTCAGGCTTGTCCCTGTTATTGAATACCCCGAAAGCCACATCAAGCATTTGATTAAAAGGTCTTTGGAAACATAGCTTTCATTTCCTGTGATTTCTTTGATTAGTTGGTATCAAGTGATACTGGCCTTATAGAATAAGTTGAGAAATGTTCCATTTTCTTCTATTTTGAGAGATGTTTATGAAGCAATAGTATTAATTATTCTTTTTTAAAATTAGGTATAATTTGCCATGACAGCAATGTGATTGATGGCCTTATTTGATGTAAGTTTTAAAATGACTAATTCAACTTTATTATAAGTCTATTCAAATTATCTGTTTACTTTTGAGTGAGTTGAGTTAGACAGGCTTGGCACAGATCTTATGGAGAGAGGGGAAGACCCTGAAGACACCTGTTCTCTACTCTGACTCAGTATTTCTCTCTCCCTCTTCTCTCCTCTCCTGTATTCTCAGGCCCATAAAATATTAGGTCCTTTTGCCTGGGGCTCCTTCAGCAGTGAGATGATTCCTACTTCTGTGTTGACCCACCCAACCTTTGCCCAGTGCAGCTCCACAGTGATAGATGAAACAGTGTGGGAGTTGGAACTTACTCGACATCAACCTCTTGCTTATGCTATCACAGTAAATGATTAAACACTTGACTGTTGCTTTCATTTTAGCTAGTTGCTTAAGTTGGTTACTCACACACTTGGAAAATCAGACGTGTCAAGCTCAGTTTCTTGACAGAAATACAACCGATATTTGAGTATGAAACTTTTATTCTGCAACTTTGTGGAATTTATTTGTTTGAGCTGATTTTTAAGAAATTCCTAAGAATTTTCTATGCACAAGATCATTTCACCTTACACCTTTCCAATCTGGATGCCTTTTATTTCTTTTTCTCATTTTGCTCTGGCTAGAACTTCCACTCTAATGCCAAAGAGAAGCAGCAACAAAGGACTACTTTGATGATGTTTCTTATAGGGAAAGCATCCCAGTCCAACAATTAACTGTAATTTTAGCTGTGGTTTTCTTGTTTACCCTTTATCAGCTTGAAGTTCCCTTATATTTCTAGTCTGGTGTGTGTGTGGCAGGGACCTGGGGAGGGGGTCAGGAAAGGATTTTGGAATTGTCAAATGCCTTTAGTATATATAATGAGATATGTTTTCTTTTCTTTATTTTATTAACATGGTCTATTACATTGAGTTTTAATGTTTAAACAACCTTTCATTCTTTGAATAAATCTCATTTGATAATTACGTTTGCTACATTTGGTTTGCTAATATTTATTGAGGATTTTTCCATCTATATTCGTAAAGAAATTGGTCTATAGTTTTCATTTCCTGTGATGTCTTTGTTTTTTGGTATCAAGTGATACCGGCCTCATAGAACAAGTTGGGAAATGTTCCGTTTTCTTCCATTTTGGGGAGATTTTTATGAAGAAATAGTATTATTTTTAAAAATTAAGTTATTATTTGCTATTACAGCAATGTGATTGACAACTTTATTTGGTGCAAGATTTAAAATTACTAATACAACTTCTTTACTTTTTAGAAATCTATTCAGATTCTTTATTTTGACTGAGTTGATAAATTGTGTCTTTCTCGGAATTCTTCCTTTTATGTAAGTTTCTAGCTGTTCACATAGAGTTGTTCACAGTGTTCTTTTATAAACTTTTCTATATCTGTAAGATTGCTAATGATGTTTTCTATATTCCTAATTTTAGTAATTTGAGTCTTTCATTTTTTTGTTGGTAAATCTAGCTAAAGTTTGTCAATTTTCTTAATCTTTTCAAAGAAATACTTTTGTTTTCATCGATTTTCTTATTCTTTTTCATTTTTCTATTTTATTTATATGCATCCTAAACCATATTGCTTTATGCTTGCTTTGAGTTTAGTTTGCTTTTCTTTCAAACTGGGAGATTTTCAATAAAATACTGAGAAAATGATGCAAATTCCAAAGGAAAATAGCTTTTCCATGTCTTCCACTCTCCAAATAGGAGTGACTCTCAAAAAGAAATTTAATGCAGAAACTGGGTTCATACTCCATAGAGTTTTCAGTGGGAAGGGTACTGTAAAATATAATATGTTATTTTTTCACTGTAACGTCCTATTTTCAGTGCCAGAATTAGAAAAATTATCATATTTATATCCAACTTCTAATTGAAAAAAAATTCTGTTTTTGCTTGAGCAAATCATAGGTTTAAAAGCAATGCCCTATCCAACTAACACTCTGTCCACTCCTTACATAGACCACATCCTCTGCAGTGCTCTGTGGAGGGCACCCTTCACCTGAACATTCCTCAGGCTGTAGATCAAGGGGTTCAGCACTGGGTTAAAGAGACTGTGAAACAACGACAGCATTTTCTCCTGCTCCTCTCGTTGATTAGAGTCTGGGACCATATAGACCACCATGGCTATACCAAAGAAGAGTCCAATCACACACAGGTGGGAGGAGCAGGTGGAGAAGGCCTTTCTGCGGCCCTCCTTTGTCTGGATCTTCAGGATGGCCCAGAGGATGTGCATGTAGGAGACCAGCATCAGACAAAGAGGCCCGACCAAGACGAACACAGAGGCAGCAAATATGACCACTTGGTTAACCCAGGTGTCAGCACAGGCCAGCTTGAGGATAGACAGAATTTCACAGAAGAGGTGGTTCACATCCCGTGGCCCACAGAAGGGCAACCTTAGAAGGAGAATTGCATGTACTAGGGACAGGGCAAGCCCACATGACCAGGACATGAGAGCCAGGATCGTGCACACTCTCCAGGACATAATGACAGTGTACTGGAGAGGGTGGCAGATGGCCACATACCTATCATAGGACATCACCACCAAAATCAGACACTCGGTAGCAGCAAAAGCCAAATACAAGAATGTCTGCACGATGCATGAAACAAAGGAGATGGCTCTTTTCTTGTTCATCAGATTTGTCAACATCTTGGGAACATTGTTGGAAGCATAGGACATGTCGATGATGGCCAGGTGTGAGAGGAAGAAGTACATGGGGGTGTGCAGACTGGGGTCTAAACAGATGAGTCCCAAGATCATGCCATTTGCCATCAGGCTGAAAATATATAACAGGGAGAAGATCCAGAAGAGGAGCAGTTCCCTCTCTGCACTGAGCTGGAATCCCACCAGGATGAATTCTGTGACCCATGATTGGTTGCCTCCCATTCCTTAATGGCAGTCTGTCAAGAACTGAAGTATGATAGAAAAGTAAAAAAACTTGAGTTTTTATCTGAAAATGAACCAAGATAAAGGCTTTATCCTTGTTCCTATTAGATAAGCCCCTTCAAGCTCCCAAGATTTGTTACTTGTTTCTAGAATTTAATGATGAAATAAATTTAAACTTACAGTGTCAAATTTTGCAAAGAACTCCCACTTATTTTCATGCGGATTCAGCACATGTTAACATTTATTATTACTCTTATTATCTTAATATAATTTTTATTTTTTGAACCATTTGAGATTGAAGGGTAGGCATAATATTTAACTTAAAATTTCTGATTTAGCTTAGTAAGCTAGTGGGAAAAAACTAATTCCCACTAGCTTGACTACCATATAAGTATTAAAATCAGAGAATTTAATATTGGCATTGACATGTTTCTTTTCTGTAACATACAATACTCCCCCTCCAACCACACGAGTTCAGGACCTAAACCAAGATTATGCATTATATCTAATGTCGTCTGTCTTTAGTCTCCTGTATCTATAATATTTACTCAGCCTTTTTGTGCATTCCTGAATACTGATGTTTTGAAGAGTTCTTCAGCATAATGTCCAACAATTTGAGAGTGTACAATATTCCTCAATGTTTTTGTTCAAATCATTTACTTTCTGCAGGAAAAACAGTATTCTTCTGTGTGCATTCTGAGTAAGAATATGATGCTAATTTGTCCTGTTATTGGGGTGGAGCTAATTTGGATCACTTGGTGAAGATGGTGCTTCCCAGATATCTCCGTTGTGTGACTGTTTTTTCCTAGTTGGTTTCTGGAGTACCCATTAAAATTATTATATATGTAGTTTGTTCCTCATAACTTCACTATTTTAGTATCCATTGATTATCTTGCTAACTCAATTATTAGTAATGGTTCAAAATGTGTTGTTCTAACTATGTAATTGCTTTTACATTTATTAGATGGCATTTTTAATATAAAAATGCTACATTCATTTATCTATTATCTATCTACCTACCTGTTATCATCTATCTATCAGTATAGACTCATGGATTTGTTTTATTCAATGGGTTGTACTTCATTGTTATCATTTTTTGGTGCCAATTTTCCTATATTTGGGCCTTCTAAGCTTGCTCCTCTTTCTTTTTAATATGTTACCATAATATTTGAGCAGTTCCTTCATTCTGATTTGACCAGATGTTTCAGCTCCCTTTGTGTTCAGTCACAAAACAGCCATTTCCTCCAAAAGTGATAATCACTTTTAATAAAGAATTATATTTATAAGCCAATATTTATATTTACCTAGGTTTTATTGGATTTTAATAATTCATATTTTTATCATGATAGTTTGTATTTATCATGATTTTTATCATAAGGACAGCATGAATTTCTGGTATCCTCCATCAAAAACAAGAGCATACAATTTGAGAAAGTATACAAATTGTTACAGGGAATAATACTTTCTCAAGGTTACTTCTGAAAATAATAGAACTTAACTGACTTCCTTTATGGTGTCATTAGCATTGTAGAAAATGGTTTTGATATTTATTATTTTATTTTTGGTGAAAAATACATGTTTATAATTCTACTACCTTATTAATCATCAGGTTTGTATTATTTTCTTGCTTTTATTCTTATTTAGAAAATTATAGAATCTTGAACATTTTAGATTTTGTGTGGTCCCGTGTGGAAACAATGTGATATGTACTTTGTATGAGATTTTGATTGCAAGTTTTAAAATCTTAGAAAAACATGAAACTCCCATTAAAGGACTAAAGAGATGACATCTTGAAATATGCAATCAAAAGTGATAATTTTTAATAATTGTGCAGTTATACATTTTTGCTGTTTATTTCATATAGATCAGTATTATAAAAATTGTGTGAAAAAATACTGTTTGTTTAACTAGCTCTATCATAGGGATATATCATGAACCATTTTCCACGTCAAAATAATTTTCTGCAACATACTTTGAACACCTATTATTTAATAGAAATATTCTAATTTACTTAACATATTATTTCATCATTAGATCGTGTGCTATATAATGCTTCAGTAATTAAATTATATATGTATATGTTTGTATTTGTTGTCTTTTTCATGAAATTTTAATAGTAAATTCCGAGACTTAAAAGTGCTCAGTCAAGTCAATCAATTTATGTATGTATATATCTCTCTCTACTCATCCAAAAGTCAAACAAGCAAAAATCTCAAATCTATTAAGACTTGTTACTGTGAGATGTCACCTAGTGGAAGAAGATGTCTAATTTAGCAATCATGATGCTAGAATCTCAAATTAACCTTCTGTTACTCCCCAGGTTCCATATGGTCCCATTCGAAAGAACCATCCTAACATTGAACTTCAGATTTCCCACCTAGACAGCTTTTTACAAATATTATTAAGGACAAGAAACACAGATTTCTCATGTTTGATCTAATCTATTGTTTCCTTCTCAATTTCAATTTCTGCCTTAGAGGAAGTCCAGCTTCATAAGTGAATGACATTGAGAATCAGTTAATCCTTCATATACTTTAAATATAGGATAATGTCTTTACTCATACATAAATTATAAGCTAAATAATAATTTAAAATAATCAACACCATAGCTCTTAAAAACGTTTTATAAATATAATTTCACTTTACCACACATGGCTAATGGCAAGGTTTTATGAAGCGGACACATTCCCAGTTATAAGTTAAATCTCTTTATATAATGGATATAATTTCAGTCTATACTCATTATTGACTTCATTTTTTAGTGCCTAAGAATGCAAAATGGATTCGGTGATTAAAACTTGAGAATCTTGACTATTGTCTTGGAAGATCCAAGTCATAAGTAAATGTAAATTCTCAGGCATGCCTGTATTTAAGTTGGAAAAGTCATATGAGTCTCGAAAATACTAGTGTCATTACTATGCTTATCTACTAGCCTCATCGTATAAGTTTGAAGGGGGGTTGTAGTGGAATCATAGCCTCTTCTTGGAAGGATTTTCTTGCATGTTTACAACCAGTTACTATTAAAAGAATGGAGACAGCCTGCTTGATCTTATCTAGGCCCCACTGAAAGTCTACTTGATAGATGGCCTATAAAGAGAGTCTTTTCTATTCTAGCAAATTAGTAGAGTCACGAGTGTAGGTTCTTTAGGCACCTATTAAAGGTATGCGCTTGGTCAATCACAACTCTTTATAACAGTTAAAATAGTTATGTACTCACTATGATGATATAGAGAAATCTCAAGGTAAAAATCATAGAGGAAGAGGGATTGATACCAAATGTCATTTATTTGAATGGAGATACCCCTTCATCAGATAATGAGTGGTAACATATCTTATACTTATTTATGTCTCTTATAATATTACACAAGCAGTATAATATTATAAGAGACATAAAGAAGTATAAGATTTTTTATACTTATAAATATAAATATAATTATAGATAAAAGTAGACACTCAGAAAATGTTTATTACTTAAATGAATGACATTTTTAGTTAAACCTTTAGTCTTTCCTTTATATGTATATTAAATGTACTCCATAAACTATACACATATAATATATAGGCTATAGTAAATACATATAATATAAATTTTTATCTATTAGCCAAGACATGATTTATATATTTTTTTAAATTACAGTTACAATTTGATTAGTTGAAAATTTAAAATAATTAAAAACAGTGTTTGTAAAGGATATATGCAAATTAGCATAATGATAGGGACTATATTTTGTCTGTAGATGAAATGCCACACCTAAACATACCGTATACGTAGGGACTGATGATGACCCCAAAAAGATATATCCCTATCCTAATCCTCAGCACCTGTAAATATTGCCTTATTTTGAAAGTGGGTCTTTGCAGATGTGATTAATCTAAGAATATTAAGATAATCCTCAATTTTGTGGGGGGCCCTAATTCCAATGACAACATTTCTTATGCAATAAAGGCAGAAGGAGATTTGAAACAAACTGCTGGCGGCACACAGAGGCAAGGCGATGCGAAGACGGGGCAGACAGATGTGGCCAGACACTGAGGAATCCTGATCATCCCCAGAAGCTGGAAGAAGGATGAACATATTCTCCTTTAGGATTCCCAAAGAAAGCAAAATTTAATAGATTCCAGAACTGTGAAAGAATAGGTTTCTATTGTTTTATGCAACCGCATTTGTGGTAACTTGTTACACAAGCGGTAAAAAAACGACTATAGTATCATACACCTACTTCGGATCAATGCTTAAGGACAATTTCCAAGTAAGGGATTTTTGAAGCAAGTGCTTCATATGGAGGTGAAATAACCTGAGAGGTAGGCTTGAAGATACACATCTCAGCATTGCGAACTTTTGCAAACTAAGCCTAAGAGGGATCAGTCACATGGCAGTGTTTATTTGATATCAATAACTCAATTAAACAGAAAGGCAAAATCAGAAATTCTTAAATTTCTGTAAGTACATGTTTTAGAAGAGGTTTTATATAAATATGCAATAATTTATTTTGTTACAATGAGATATATTCCTATGTTATGACAAGTGGGGGATAGTAAAATCATATTGCAAAATCTTTCTTAAACAGAATTGAACATAATACTCAGTGTCTGAAATATTTAATTTCTGAATATAAAGGATAACAATATTATTGAAGATAATTCAATCTATTATTACTCAGTAAAAACATTTGTTTCTTGATATTTTAGTCTGGTGATTTTTTTCTGGATTAGTCAATCTTTTTTCTTGAGATGGAGTCTTACTCTGTAACCCAGGCTGCAGTGCAGTGACTCCATCTCGGCTCACTGCAACCTCTGCCTTCTGGGTTCAAGCAATTCTCCTGCCTCAGCCACCTGAGTAGCTGGGACTACAGGTGTGTGCCACCACACTGGGCTAATTTTTGTATTTTTTAGTAGAAATGGGGTTTCACAATTATTGGACAGGCTGGTCTCGAACTTTTGACCTTGTGATTTAACTGCCTCAGCCTCCCAAAGTGCTGGGATTACAAGCATGAGCCACTGCGCCAGGCCTATTCA